ATTTCCGCAGCGCCTTTCACATCGGGAGGACGGCTCAAGGCGCTGAGCACTCAAGGATGTGCGTCCGAGCAGGGGGTTGGGATCAGGAGGGGCGGAGGGCAGGGAGGGCAGGGGTAGGAGGGTGACCGAAGGCGTGATCGAATAATAAATAAATCGCAGCGAGGTAGAGGGAAAAGGAGGTGAAGGTCAGGCACGAAAGAGTGTGAATTAAAGTTCGGAGAAAAGCAAGCCAATGTGAGGGGAAATCAAACACCGGAGCATGAGCCTGAGGACTGTAAATTGCACAGGAACAGTCTGCGGGGATTATTTGAGTAAGAGGATCCAGCGTGCAAATTCAAGCATTTAATTAGCTCCAAATTAACAATGCTGAGCGCGATGGAAAAGGTGGAGTTTTCCCTTCCTGTTCCCTCCCGCTTAGAGGAGTTTGACTCCTTTTTTTTCCTTCTACTGGGTTTCAGTTTTGCAAGCTGGTTTAACAATAATCATAATAGTCCTTACATTTGATACCGGGAGGACGTCTCAAAGCGCTTCACACTGGACACTGTGAAGTGGAGTGAATGTGTGTCTTGTGGACCTAATTTGAGTAAATTATTAAGTTAGCTGATCTGGGACCTAATTTGAGCAAATGATTCCATCTCTTTTCAAACAGTCCAATGGGATCTTGAATGTTCAGCTGAACAGGCAGACGGGACCTTGTTTTAATGTATGTTCCAATGGCACCTCCGACAACACACCAACCCCCAGCACCGCATTAGATTGCCAGGTTAGAGTATATGAGTTCAAAGTCCTGATGTGGGGCTTGAACGCACAAAATTCTGACTCAGAGGAGTCAACTCAGTCAGGCCAGAGGGTCTGTTTAATTTCATTTTCTCCTTTGGCATCTCTGCGTATTGCTGATGAATTGCTCATCTATATTATAATGTGCTCGGGCTCTCTTCACACTGAAGCAATTTGGTTTGCAATTTTAATTCAATATTTTGGATTAAATGCCCACAGGAGGAGAGAGCACAAGTGATTTCTGAGAAAGAGGAAGAAAGGGCTCGCGTTTCTAAGGCACTTTATCGTGAACCAAGTGCTTCACGGGTATTTACTGCCAAGTGTAGTAACTTTCCGAAGCAGTCACTAACAGCAGAAACCCTGCCTTATTTCTGCCTTGTGCTGATTTGCTTTCAGAGGAATTATAGCCTCCTGCTATGACTGCCATGATTGAGATGCCTCCCTCCTACACTCCACAACACTCCTCACCTCCCTCACTCTTCCCTCCCTCCTACACTCCACAACACTCCGCACCTCCCTCACTCTTCTCTTCCTCCTACACTCTACAATACCCCTCACCTCCCTCATTCTTCCCTTCCTCCTACACTCTACAGGATTCCTCACCTCCCTCACTCTTCCCTTCCTCCTACACTCCACAGCACTCCGCACCTCCCTCACTCTTCTCTTCCTCCTAAACACTACAACACTCCTCACCTCCCTCACTCTTCCCTCCCTCCTACACTCCACAACACTCCTCACCTCCCTCACTCTTCCCTCCCTCCTACACTCCACAACACTCCGCACCTCCCTCACTCTTCTCTTCCTCCTACACTCTACAACACTCCTCACCTCCTCCCGATGTCTCTTGTCTTCTCTACTCCTATTTATTTCAATCTTGCTGTGACTCCTCACTTGGATTGTTGACCAGGACACCGGGAGAAAGAAACTCCCTTCTCTTTTCGAACAGCGCCACGGGATCTTTAACGTCCATCTGAACAGGCAGACGGGACCTTGGTTTAAGTCTCATCCGAAGGACGGCATCTCTGACAATGCAGCACCCCCCAGCCCTGCATTGGAGCGTCAGCTTAGACCATGTGGGATCAAGTCCCGATGTGGGATTGGAACCCACAACCTTCTGACTCAGAGGGGAGAGTGCTACCACTGGGCCAAACTGACACAAAAACGGGGGGTGCCGTTTTGGATTGATTTAATATTCCTCCCAACCATCTGCATAATCCAGTGCGTATGCTTACAACTTTAGCAGGATATAATTCTCAACGGATGAGGCACCAACAGACGGGCATCTTGTAAATCAATGTGCAATAAATTAATGTCATCCTTTCATCATACCGCACGGCTCCAGTAAGCAGAGAGTGAGGAACCAGGTTCATTTTATTCCACCGTGATTGAAAGGGACATAATTAATTTTTTTTCACAACGCATCAGATCATGCCTTGGGAAGCAATTAGGCTTGAATGAGCTAATTCGCCAGCAACTTTGTGGACCTCTTAAGACGCCTGAACCTTGCTTCAGCCCTAGTGTCTAAAGCTTCATTAGGAGAGGGAATTGAGGTGGCGGTGAGGGGAAGGTGGCGTGGGGGTGGGGGGTGTGTGTGGTGGGGGGAAGAGTGGTAGTGGGAATTAACAAAGCATTAATTCATTAACAGGAGAATGTGGGTTCCGTACATTACTGTGGTGAAGCATTGCATTGTCGGAAGTCTGTGCTTCACCTACAAATACACAGTCACTACACTTCTCGGTAAAATCCTATGAAGCACTTTGCGGCGTCTCGACGACGTGATAAGACTCTGTATCAAGTGGCTAATACGGCTATAACACGCTTAACAACTGTCGCTTTGCAACAACCCTGGAATTTTACACAGTGCCTCTTTCGCCAAAACGTCTCAAAGTGCTTCACAGGGAATGGCTGTAAAGTATAGCGACTGTGTATTTTGTTGGTGAATGTGGCAAGCGCGGCAACGTGCCACAAAGAAGCCACGGCATAAACGACCAATTTTACCTGGGAGATTGTCGGCCAGGACACTGGGGGAGAGAAACGGCCTTCTCGTTTTCGAGTAGTGCAGTGGGATCTTTACTCTGAACCCTGAACAGGCAGACCAGATCAGCTTAACGTTTCACCTGAAGGCTGGCACCGGAGCAGAAGTTAAGAAGGAATCTTATGGAAGTCTTATGGAAGCTCAGGAACGGAAAATTCGGAATTGAGAGTATAAAACAGAGGCACGTTATTCCCACTGCCAACAGGCTGTTTAAGTCAGGAATTTTACTGAAGAGTTATTGGGAGAGATCAGAAATAGTTATTTTATGCAAGTGGCTTTGGAAGCTCGGATTCCAATACAATACAATTTACATTTACACAGCGCCGTTTAATGTCAGGAGGATGTCCCAAAGGGCTTCCACACTGCAGAATGGGCACCTGAGCCTGGGATGAGAGCTGAGAGGTCGTGGGGAGGAGAAAGATGATAATAATAATAATAATAATCCTTGCATTTGATACAGCGCCTTATCACGTTATTGAGATGCCTCAAAGCGCTTCTCAGGATATACTGTAAAGTGAATTGACTCTATATTTTGTGGGTGAAAACGTGGTTGAAGAGCTATGTCATGAGAACGTACCTTGAAAAAGAGGAGGGAGGGAGAGAGGGAGGGAGTTAGAATGAGGGGAGGGAAGGAGAGATTGTGATGGGTAAAAGCAAAAGAGTGCCAAATATTTGAAGGTGAACAGAATAAAACGGCAGAGGGAAAGAGCGAGGAATACTGACAGCTCCATCGGTAAGGAGTAAGGGGGGGGGGGGGGAAGGGAGCTTGCACAGGTTTGACGCTCCAAATGGTCTCCTTCAAGACTGTAAATGTCTACGTTTCTTCAAAGAACACCAGACGTGCCGGTGTTGTTCAAACAGAAAAAAAAAAGATCGTTATTTTTCTTCTTCAAAAAACAAATCCTGTTTTTATTGTGCAGGAGAAATCCCAGGCACAGTGAGAGGCAATCCAGATCTGAGAAGCTCTACAAAAAAGGGCCTGCAAATAGATCTTTTGTCAAAAATGTAACGAGCAAAAAAAAAAAATCAAGGGGGAGGAGACAACGAGAGCTACATCTCTATCACTGGGAGACTGGTTCCTTGGCAGTTTAATGACACTGCTGGATAGTCCTGGATTAATGAGAGCATTCAGAAATAGGCTGCGATTATGTGGTGCTTGAAATCTTAACAGTACAAATTACATTTACATCGCCCGAGGTGTCAGCCTGGCTCAGTTGGTAGAAGGCTCTCCCACAAGTTCAAGCCCCACGTTGGAGAATTTGAACTCACACAGTGACCAAATGACCTTGGAGTCCCTTAGCATAGCAGTTAGCACCCTTGCCTTGCGAGCGAGAGGTCCCAGGTTCGATTCCCAGGCAAGTTTCCTTATTCCACACTCCTCTGTTTACAGAACAGTAAATAGGAACCCGGTTGTTAGTCAACTGGCGGATTGCTTTCTGGGAGTAATAATTCCTTAAAAATAATTGGTCACTCAATCCACAACTGTTTGTGGGACACTGCTGCCACTCACCCACAAAACACACAGTCAATCCACTATATAATATATTCTGTGAAGTTTTTTGAGACGTCTCAACAACGTGACAAGGCGATATATCAAATGCAAGGATCATAATTATTATTATAATTTATCTGGGGGATTGTCGGCTACACAGTAGTCCAGGCTGACATTACAATGCAGTGTTGGGGGGGGTGGGAAAATGCTTCGTGGTTGGAGGTGCCATCCTTTGTTAAACTGAGTCCCGGTCTGCCTGTTCAGCTGGACATAAAAGATTCTATGGCACGAATCAAAAAGAGAAGGGAGTTTCTCTTTCTGTCTCTCTCTCTCTCCAGGTGTTTTGCCCAATAACCCCCCCCCCACTTCCACAGATAAAATTGGTCTCTCTATAACACATTGAAAGTTTGTTGGAACTTTCGACCAGCAATTTTTGTGTTCTTCTGGGACTCAGACATGGATTAAGATTGAACCAGAAAACCTCCATTAGCTTCCATTTAACTCCCGCACTACCTCCAAACACTCCCCCCCACCCCCACCACCCCCCACCCTGAGCACCACCCTGATTGCCCCCTACTGCCCGTCCCACTCCGCTTGGCACCCTCCCCCACCGTCCCCAGTACCCCATCCAAACTTACCCCACATCCAGACCCCTTGCCCCCAGCCAGCACCACCGCCTCACACAACGACACTTACCTACTATGACTCTTTGTGCCTCATAGGGTTCCATGTAGCCATTATTCTCCACTTCCTGCTTCTCGTTGGCTTCTCTTCTCGCCTCGTGTCTGGTGTCAAAAGGGTCAGAGTAGTCGTCGTCGGTCTGGAAGGAAGAGGCAGATTCGTCGGGTTAACAGGAGCCTGTGTCCCCACGCACCGTGTCAGCACCTTATCAATCATCGAACAAGTGTCAAAGCGCTTCACAAGATAACAATAATAATAATAATCCTTGCATCTGATATAGGGCCTTATCACGTCTTCGAGACGTCTCAAAGCGCTTCACAGAATATACTGTAAAGTGAATTGACTGTATATTTTGTGGGCGAAATACGGCAGCCCATTGCGAACAGCAGCGCCAACAAAGAGCCGTGGATTCAGTGACCAAATTTTTTTTTTTTCTTTTTTGAAGGGATTATTAAGTCCGGAAAATTGATCCACCAATCAACTAACAACCAGGCTCCTACTTACTGCTGGGTAAACAGAGGCGTGTGTGTGGAGTAAGGAAACTTGGCCAGTGTTTCGCCCCCTGCCCGGGAATCAAACACAGGTCCACTTGGTTGTGAGGCGAGTGCTTTAATCACTGAGCTACAAGATTCACTGTCCACGTAGCTCTCACCTGGTAGGTCTGTAAACCCAGCCATTGGGAAGGCCCACAGACACCATTGACATTCCTGAACAGGAATGTGGACCTCGGTTTAACGTCTCATCCGAAGGACGGCACTTCCGACGATACTCCCCCCAGCGCTGTCCTGGAGCGTCAGCCTGAGCCTTGAGCTCAAAGCCTTAACTGGAGTTCAAAGAACACACGATTTTTGGAGGGGAGGGGAGAGAATGCGAGCGACTGAGTTGGGCTGAGACCCAGGAGAACGGAGAAAAGACAGCAGATCCGACAGCGAGGCACACACACACACACACACACACACAAACAAACTAAAGTAGCTGTAAACATTCCCCCCCCACCACCCCACTCCCTCCCTTCCCCTACACAGAAATCGGCGCAAATTGAAATCCATCTGTTGTGACCAAGCTGGTGAAGCCGGCCACAGTAGCTCGCAAGCTGAGGTTTGCACGAGGCAATGCGCTGGAGGGCTGTCACTCGGTCTCCAGGGGCTTTAATGAGAGCAGTGACATTTCCTTTCGGAAAAGTCCAGTAAGATACTTGACGTCTAATCCAATCTGAAAGCACTGTAGCATAGACAAATTCTCTCCACGTGCGCGACGGAAAGGTTCGATGATGGAAGTCACAAAGGCAATATCGTCACGATCTGCACCTCGCACAAGTCTCAGCGTTACCGCACGCCAGCCAGAGAATGAGTAGCTGTTAGTTAAATCAGATCAGCTGGAATCCGGGGCACAAATGTGGTCGACAGAACCGTTGCACGGAGCCGTTCTCATCCACTAAGGAGCATGGGAACAGGAGGAGGCCATTTAGCCCTTCGAGCCTGTTCTGCCATTTAATTAATTAGATCAAGGCTGATCTGTAGCTCAACTAAATCCTTTCAATTCCCCATTTTCTCCCCATATCCCTCAATGCCCTGACCTACCAACAATCTATTCACCTTATCCACGGCCTTTTGGGGGAGAGAGTTCCAGATTTCTACCACCCTTTGAGTGACAAAATGTGGCCCACAGACAGCCATGGAGCGAGGGGTCAATTTTTATCTGGGGGATTCGGAGACGAGGGGAAGTGACGGAAGGAGACAGCGGTTGAAATAATTCCCTCTGGGGGTATCTTCGGGTCCAGAGATATAATCTTCTCCCTGTAGCGGTTGTCGTTTTTGTAGGAGGAAGAAAAGGAAAGTTCAAATGAAATGAGAACTAACAATAAATTGAGAAAAGAATTACAAGATCAGTTTTCGCTGAAATGTTAATCCTAAATTCTAAATGTGTCAGCCTGGCGCAGTAGTAGGGTTCTCTCTCGCCCCCGAATCAAGAGGTTGTGGTTTCAAGCCGCACATCGGGACTTGGAATCACAGAGTCTAAGCTGAGGCTCCAGTGCAGTGTTGTGGTGGGGGGTGGGGGGGATGTTGCATTGTCGGAGGTGCTGTCCTTCAGGTGATAGATTAAACCGGGGTCCCGTCTGCCTGTTCAGGTGAATGTCAAAGATCCCGCGGCTCTATTCGAAAAGAGAAGGGAGTTTCTCTTTCCCGGTGTCCTGGCCAACAATCCTCCAGATAAAATTGATCACTCACTCCATAACCGTGTGTGGGACACTGCTGTGCGCAAACTGGCTGCCACGTTCCCCCACAAATGCACAGTCAATTCCCGTGACAGTATATCCTGTGAAGCGCTTTGAGACGTCTCGACGACGTGATAAAGCGCTGTATCAAATGCAGCGACTATTATTATTTACTGTGTCCCACCCTGCTCGGGCTCCCATTACATTTCTGTAAAGGGCCTTTGAGACACTTTTCCCCTGTGAAAGGCTCGGTATGAATATAAGTTGCTGCCGTCTTTCTTTGAACGAGCGCTTGAGAGTTTGACACAGAATTTTAAGAAGAACGAGTGCAACTTGCAAACTTTTTTTTAGTCACCAGGCGTCTGACACTCGTGGACACCCATCATTGTGCTTAAGAGTATCCGAAGCAGACTTGAGAGTTCCACACATACCATCGACAAATGGAAATAATAATGATAATCCTTGCATTTGCTATAGCCCGCTTCATGTTTTCTATCAATTGATAGTATATTTGTGGGCGAAACGCAGCAGCCAATTGCGCACAGCAGTGTCCCCCAAACAGTCGTGGATTGAGTTACCAAATTATTAATGTATTTTTCTTTCTTGAGGGATTATTATCAGATATTTGGAGCAGGAAAACTTGTCCAAGGTTTTGCCCAAGCCGGGAATCAAACCCACGTCTCCCGCTAACCACTGAGGTACAGGACTCTCTCTCTCTCTCTCTCACACACTCTCTGTCACTCTCTCATATTTTCTTTACTCTCACACGCACTCTCTCTCTCTGACCCCCACTCTCGCGCTCTCTCTCTCTCTGTCTCCCTCACGCTCTCTGTCTCGAATATAGAAATTCCTATACCTGGAATGGAATGTGGCCTCTCTCACTGGATGGACGTACCATGCTCACCTAATTAGGCGTAGGTGGGCAAGAACCAAGGCTTGGGGACCCCAGGGTGTGCGTTGGGACAACCGCTGGAGTCTAACCACCTAAAACCACATGGCTTGCCAATGAGAGCACTGTCTGACAAGCTTCACGCTGCTTGTCCAGCTCGGACAGACTGTAACCATTACGCCTTTGGTGTAATATTTACGCCATTTTCACTAACAGGAGCTGAGTGGGAAGAATCCTTGCCGATAGTGACTGATCTGTCCCTTCCAGTCCTACCTATGACTATGAACCTGTGGAATTTCAGTGCTCTGGAATACTACAGTCTTTAAAGGGAGAAAATAAACTGGCAATTTGACACCAAAATGGGACACCTTTTTCCAAAATACCCTGGGTGTTGATTAAATGAAGTTAGCGGTGGTAAAGTTATTGTAAGCCTCTTTATTGCACACAGTTATTAAAGCGCGAAACAGAGGCACACAGACTGGGATTCGAAGCCTTTTTAAAATACCATCGCCTGATATCTTTCACGCCCCGATTTCACCGCCGTCAGAACCCGTCCAATTCTCGCTTCAGTAAAAGGGCGCCAAGAAACTGGCTTCGGTGCTAACAGCGATCGTTATTCAAGCATCGAAGTCGATATTTAACACTTTACGGCTCAGCGATTCCACCTAAGTCAGCCTGCTACGCCATTCTGTCAGAAAATGGAAGATAACTGTAAATGAGAAATGGGAGGTAACTGGGCACGATCGCGTTTCACCCACAAAATACACAGTCAATCCACTTTACAATACATTCTGTGAAGCGCTTTGGGTCAACTCAATGACGTGATAAGGCACCATGTTAAATGCAAGGATTATTATTGCTATAATAATATTGCTTCGTTTGCTATCGAGTCTTATCAAGTCATTAAAACGTCTCAAAATGCTTCCTCCGCGGGATTATCCAGTGAAGTGTAGTGACTGTGTATTTTGCGTGCGAACGCGGCAGCCAATACACGCACGCGCCGCCGCCCCACAAACAACCGGGGAAAGGGAGGGAGCGGAGAATTGATGACCAGGACACAGGGAAAGAAACTCCCTTCTCTTTGCCAATTGCCCGTTGAATTAAAAGAAGATTAAATTACAGACGTTCGCACCCAACCGCCCCCACCCACCCCACCCCCACCCCCCACCCCTACCCCCTGCATTTCTCCCATCAATAGATTTGTTCTCTTTATAGAATCTCTGAAATACATCGTCGCTGGTTTCATGCCACTCAGCCCCCGTGGCTGGGCTCAGCTGCCAGATCGTATCGGACAAACACAAAGCAAATGATACTCGGGAGACACTGTGAGCCGGGGCGGAATCTAAATTTGGTTCTGAGCTGAGCTGCTCCCTTGGGGATGAACCCACGAGGTACAGCGCAACATCAGACAGGTCTCAGATGTGATGCGGAATATATTTGGACACAGCCGAGCAAATCCGAGAAGCGTCCTTGCTCCGTTTTCTCTTGAAGTCGTCGCAGGAAAGAAATTTAAAAAGATGCCAAAAAAAGATTAACGGCTCCAATTTTGCGGTATTTTTCCTTTATGAGCAACCGTTTTTTTTCGGGGGCGGGAGGGGTGGCGGGGTGGGGGGGGGGCAGGGGCCGGAGAGGGGTGGGGAGTACTGGCCACACACTACGTCGCTCTTATCCCGTATCAATTTCAATTGTGTGGAGAGTATTTCAAACGCGCACAATTCTCTCGGCTACCAGAAATATATTATTACAATTATAAATGTATTAGAATTATTATTATTATTAAATGGCGAACAGCAAAAAAGGACATATCTGTAACTGTGAAGTGTTTCTATTGAGAGGAAGACTTTATTAATAATAATAATCCCTGCATTTGGGACGTCTTCCCGACGTTAAAGGCACCACACAAATGTAGCTTTGTATTGTATTTTGTATTGTATTTGTTATTGAACCTTATAATGTCATCAAAAACGTCTCAAAGCACTTCACAGGATTTACTGTAAAGTGCAGTGACCGTGGGATTGTAGGCGAACACGGCAGC